GAGGCCAGCCAGAGGGACAGCGAGGCCCAATCTTGCGTCTGCTCTTTCCCCTCGGGTCAGCACCCACCACGCCCGCCCGGGCCCGCCCCAGCCCTGCACGGCCTGTCCCCCCCACATTCCCACGGGGCTCCCTGCACAAGGCCCTCCTCGACCCCTGCGTCTCCATCTCCCGCTCTGGGCCTGTCACCATCTCCCCCCCGTTACCACCTCAAGCCACGCTGCTCACCCCCCCATCCCCACAGAGGTCAGGGGCTGGACAGAGTCTGAGCTGGAAGAGGCCAGGAGAGCCCCCCAAGTCACACGTTGGTGTCCAGATGCAAATACAGCCCATGTAGAAATGAACTCAATCGGTTCTTGAAAGTGCTTTGTGCCCCTCTCTGCAAAAACTACAGTACGCTATTAAAAAAATACGAAAGGGGGGGCTGGAGTGATAGCACAGCGGGTAGGGCGTTTGCCTTGCACGTGTACCGACCCGGGTTTGATCCCCAGCATCCCATATGGTCCCCTGAGCATGGCCGGGAGTAGTTTCTGAGTGCATGAACCAGGAGTAACCCCTGAGCATCGCCAGGTGTGACCCAAAAAGCAAAAAAAAAAAAAAAGGAAGAAAGGGGGCGGAGAGGCAGGATGTGTGAAATGTCTGCCTTGCACTAGCTAGGCCCCATCCCCATATCGCCCCCCAAGCCGTGCTGGGAGTGACTCTGAGCCCAGAGCCAGGAGTTAGTCCAGGCACTGCCAGGTGTGGCCCAAAAACAAGACAGCAAACAGACAAGTGAAAAAGCCAAACCGCGCTGGGCAAACTCATTAGGGCCCCAACTTATTATTATTATTTTCTTCTACCAGGGCTACACCTGGTAATGCTCAGGGCTTATTCCGGGCTCTGTGGCCAAGTGTCACTCTTGGTGGGGCTGGGGGAAACCTATGCGGTGCCGGGGATCAAACCTGGGTTCACTGTGTACAAGGCCAGCGCCTTCACCCCCATGCTCTCTCTCCGGCCCCACAGCCGACACTTTCTTTGTCTCAGGGCTGAAAATATCTTTTACTTTGATGTACGGGGGAGGCACGATCACCCTAAGAATTCTCTGGGTCTCCGGGACTCCCGGAGCAGGAACTATTTGTGGGGGGAGCAAGAGGCTGGTCTTTATACCCCGAGAGACCCCGGGACCACTACAGGGCCCGTGTCACAAGGTCCCACACGCTCCAGCCCGGCCCCCCAGCCCCCACCCCCGGCCCTAGCCCCTACCCCGACAGCTCTGGATACTGTCCTGGACTCCGAGCCCCCTGCAGTCTGGGGAGAGATCACAGAAAACAGAAAAGCCCCCAGGGGGGTCAGGGCTCAAGGAGAGACCGACACTGACCCGTGGGAAGGGCCGGGACAGACTTCCTGTCCCCGAGATGCCGCCCCTCCATCCGGTGCCCACGGCACCTTCCCCAGGGGCTGAAAAGACACGTCAGCTGGGGGCGCAGGGGGCTGAGATGGGGTGCGGGGGACTCACCGGGCAGCTGCTGCGTGACGCTGAGTTCCTGCTGGTACTGGGGCTGAGTGTAGGCCCACACGTGCACCTCGGCCCCCAGTGTGGCCTCGAAACACTCAAACACCACAGAGCCCTGCAGGAGACGGGGCGGCTGGGCATGCGGAGCTCGGAACGGGGCTGAGGGTCCCCACTTCCCAGCCAGGGCAGCCGCTGCTCTGACCCTTTCATCGCTGCTCCTGCCCCGTGCCTGAACTGACCATCAGACGGTCCCTCACTGACGGGGGGGGCGTCAGCTCTGCCCCCCTAAAGTGGGTCTCCTACCCCAGTCCCCAGTCCCTGCTCTCTGGTGAATGTTCCAGAGTTTTCTATACGTTGAAGGATCTTGGGGGACGTTGGGATGTCAGGAACGGGCTCCACCCTGTGTGCCCTGCTGGGGGCCCCTCCTCAAGCCTCAGCCTTTCCCTACAGAATGGGGAGACACACGGCAGGCATCATGCAGGAGCCCCTGCTGAGCCGCGTCTGGACCCCCAGTGTGGTTCTGAGACATGAGAAGGAACGGGGGGAGCGGGGGAGGGGTCAGGGAGGGAGAGGAGGGAGATGGCGCTGGCTGAGACCAGCCGCATCTGCTCACTGATTGCCACAGAGGAAGGGGGACCCTCGTCCCCGAGTTAGAGCTGGGAAAACCAAGGCGCGTGAGCTGGAAGGGGCTGCCCCAGCACAGGGGACCAGGAGTGCGGGGAAGGGAACTTCCAACGCCTCTCGAGAGGTGCTGCCCCTGAGGCACCTACCACGGACTGTCCGGGCTTCGCGTCGGTCGCAGGCACCTCCACCGCCAGCAGGGCACAGCGGGAGACCAGGTAGTCCTGGAAGGACAGTATGACGTGGGCCTGGACAGACTCTGGGAGCAATGGAACAGGGCCCTGGCGTCAGACCGCGCCGCCAGCCTGGGGAACACCGGCGGCCCCCCACGCTCCCCCAGGTCCCCTCACCGTTTGTCAGCGCCTCGGGTGCTGGGGCGGCTCTTGGCAACTCGACCTCAACTTCAGGCTCTTCTGGGGGCCCTGAGGGACAGTGGGCCAGGCCAGCTGAGACCCCCGCCCCAGGCCTGGCCTCACACAGCAAGCCCCGCGCCGGCACAGAGGCAGCCGGGTTGGGGCTGGGGTTTGGACCCAGGGTTTTTGCAGACCCCGGACACACTGCCCGCCCTCTGTGCCCTGGAGCCCAGGGCTGCATGAGAGCGTTGCCAGTGGCCACTCAGCTCCTGGCGGAGGGTTACACGCCCCGCATGTGCAGCCTGACTCACCCTGCACACACCAGGCGCCGGGGCCCCGCCCCACTGCACGGCCCCACCCCTGCGCCAGCTCGCGTGTACACCCCTGTCCCCCACACACCACTCTTGGGCACACCCGTGTATACCCAGCCCCACTCCCCACCCTGCGCCCTGGGCAGTGGCACGCATGTGCACGCACACATATACATACATACACACACACACACACACGCATGTGCGCCACCCGACCCTGCCTGCGCCTGGCTCACCGAACACAGCCAGGTGGAGGGCGACGCGCACACAGAGGTCACAGTCATGCTCCTGGTGGCACCTGAGCACCAGCTCCGTCTGCAGCTGAGTGGGCACCAGCACGGGGCCGGGGGCAGGCACCAGGCCCCCCTGCACACACAGCACGTCACCGTCTGCAGGGAGAGGGTGTGGCGGGCAGTCAGGACCCCAAGTTGGGCTGCAGCTGACCCCCGGGGGACAGTGAGCTCTGAGGCCCCCCTCCGACCTGTGGGGACAGCGGCTGGCGTGCCCTCTCCCGCCCAGGAGTCCGGGGATTCCTTTCCGCTCCCAAAGCGAGGGTACTCACCCCAGAGCTGGCAGGACAGACCCTGGGAAGGAGGCAAGGGAGAGTCAGGGCCGAGGTCTCGAGGGCACCCCTCTCCCTGTCCACGACCCGCTCCCGGCCCGCCCTTCCGGGGCCCCTGGCAGAGGACACGGTGTTCTGCCGGGAACACGAACCCGGTCTCCCGGGGGCCCCAACAGCACCAGACAGACCAGCCAGGGCAGTTTGGGCAGTTGTCGGGGACAGGACCCGGCCTCCCCCAAGCCTCCTGGGTCCCAGACTCACCGGGGAGCAGCGGACGGTGTCCTGGGATCCCAGCAGCTTCTCGAGCGCCAGGACCCCGGGGCTGCGACCCAGTGCCAAGGACAGCAGGAACCAGGACACTGGCATCACCCAGGTACCAGGCAGCGCCAGGCCCGGGGCTCGGTCCTGCCCCCCCAGAGGGGGGGCAGACGCCCCCTTTCTGCTCCCACTCAGCCCTAGCTAGTGGGCGGAATGGGCCAGAATCCGTCGACTCGCAGGCCTGGGATCCCGGGAGCCCCGAGTCCCGACTCCAGGCCGGAGGTTTCGGTTTGGCCGGCACAGGCAGGCGGCGCTCCCTCCCCGCCCCGCCCCTCCCGCTGGCGCCTCCTCCCTCTCCCGCTCCTGCCCCGCAGACCTGGCCCGGCGGGGAGGGCTGTGACCTCTGGGGAGGCTGCTGCGCCTCGCATGGTCCTTCTCTCAGGACCACCCCGGACCGGACCACACCTGGCGTCGCCACGTCTGTGTGCTCTGCCTCTCGGTTCCCACTGGGTCCCCTGCCTGGGCACTGAGGCCCTTCCCCAGCACGCCCTGGGCTCAGTGGAGTTTTTCTGAGTGACCTGGGGGGGGGGGTGGGGGCCCACCCGGATGCTCACAGAAAGTGGGTCTAGCTCTGGGCCAGCGTGGCCTAGGGCCTGGTGGCTGCCACTGTGTCCTCTGGGAGCTGTGCTGTCCTTTTATTTTTTTTGCTTTTTGGGTCACACCCGGTGATGCTCAGGGGGAACTCCTGGCTCTGCACTCAGGAATTACTCCTGGCGGTGCTCAGGGGACCCTATGGGATGCTGGGAATCGAACCCGAGCCAGGGTCAACAGAATGCAAGGCAAATGCTCTACCTGCTGTGGTATCCCTCCAGCCCCTGTGCTGTTCTTTTCGGGCTCTTTTGCGTGGTTGTTGTTGTTTTGGGTCACGTGCTCAGGGGTCACTCCTGGCTCACTCCTGCTGGGGCTCCGGGGACCCTAGGGGGTTCCTGGGGTGAATCCTGCTTGGCGCCTGCAGGGCAAACACCCTCCTCGCTCTCCCATCGCTCCGGCCCTCGGGGCCTATCACCCTTTTGGAGGTCCTTCTTGTGGGACGCTGGAGCACGGGGTGCGGAGGCGCACGCGGAATGGGTGGACCACGCACGCAGACCCGGACACGCGGAGCAGCTCCGCTGGCTTTATTCACGCCTCTCCCGCCCTCGGCACCGTCCCCCAGGCCCAGGGCCGTTCCCAGGTCCACTGTCCTGCACCCGCACCCGCTCTGGGCATGGCCTGGGTGCGGGCGTGGAGCACGCGCAGGCCCGGCTCCGGCGTTCCGGAGGCGCCGGTCGGGGGGCCGGGGTGGGAGGCAGGCGCGTCATCGCGGGGGCGGGCGGACGTGTCCTCCCCGGGGGTTCTGGGCGCTGAGTCAGCAGGTCCCCCGGGCGGCCCCCCGCGCGGCCTCGCGTTCCAGGCGGCGGCACCGCTGCAGGGGCGCGCGCGGGGGGCGGCGGGCGGCGGGCCCCGCGCCCAGCGCGCGCAGCAGGCGGGGCAGGTCCCGCAGCAGGCGGAAGCGCGGCAGCGCGCGCAGGGGCGCGGGGAGGCGGCGGGGCGCGCCCAGGCGGCCGAAGTAGGCGAGCAGCGGCGCGGGGCGCGGCGGGGCGCAGAGCGCGGCGCGGGGCGCGCGGCGGCGGCTGCACAGGAGCAGCACCGCGCCCCGCTCCCGCCGCACGCGCGCCCGCGCCGCCCACAGCCACGGCAGCGGCCCCAGGCGCGCCACGCGCCGCGCGTCCCACACGTCCACGATCACGTCGCGCGCGCCGCCCAGCGCCGCCCGCAGCAGCTCGGCCAGGGCCGCCACCAGGCGCCGCTGCGCCTCCGAGTCCGCCGCGTGCAGGAGCAGCACCGGCCGCGCGCCGCCGGGGCCTGGGGACAGCGGGAGACGCGCGCGCGTGGGTGCGGGGCCGTGGGCCACCGGCACCCCTCCCCGACCCCTCCCCCAGCCCCCTTTCCTCCCGCTCCCTCTCTCTTTCGGGGGGGGGGCTCGCCCGCCAGTGCCGCGCTCCCCTGGCTCTGCAATCAGAAATTACTCCCGTAGGCTGGGGGGACTCCATGGGACGCCGGGGTCAGAGCAACGAAAGGCCCGTTAGCCCCTGGATACCCGCAGAGGTCTGTCCCACCGTTGCGCAGACCCCCTGACCACCTCCCTTTGGGTGGAGGAAGGGGCTGCCCAAACTTAGTCCTCTGCTAAGTTCCTCCTGGCTGGGCAGGTTCTTTTCCTTCCCCTTCTACTTTCCAATAGAACTTTCCATTTCAGGGGGGGCCGAGAGATAGTGTAGCAGGGAGGGCGTTTGTCCTGCACACGGCCAACCCGGGTTCCATCACCAACATCCCAGCTGGTTCCTTGGGCACCACTGGGAGGGATTCCTGAGCACAGAGCCAGGAGCAGCTTGAGCATTCCTCGGTGTGGCCCCCAAACCAACAAACAAAAAGTACTCCCACGGGGCTGGAGCAATAGCACAGCGGGTGGGGCATTTGCTTTGCACCCGGCCGACTCGGGTTCGATTCCCAGCACCCCATATGGTCCCCTGAGCACCATCAGGAGTAATTCCTGAGTGCAGAGCCAGGAGGAACCCCTGTGCATCGCTGGGTGTGACCCAAAAAGAAAAAAAGGCACCCCCGACTTTATTTAAAAAATAAAATAGGGGCTGGAGCAATAGCACAGTGGGTAGGGCGTTTGCCTTGGACCCGGCTGACTCGGGTTTGATTCCCAGAACCCCATATGGTCCCCCGAGCACCACCAGGAGTGATTCCTGAGTGCAGAGCCAGGAGTAACCCCTGTGCATCGCCGGGTGTGACCCAAAAAGCAAAAAAAAAAAATTTCTTTTTTAACACAAAACAAAAGAGAATCACTGGACTGAAGGATGTCTTGGGGCCCGTGATGAAAGGGTGGGCACAAGCTTCATTTCTGCTGGGCAGCCCCTGCTCAGAAACCAATGCCCGGGTGCCTTCTCCCTGCAGTCACAGCTTCTGCCCACTAGAGGGCAAGTGCTGGGGGCCCAGGCTGGGACCTGCAGGGAGGTGAGGGACGGGGCTGGGCGGGGTGCTGGGCAGGGAAGCGGGCACTGGGCAGGTGTAAATTTCCCACCGCACCCCGTGAGCTTACCCGAGAATGAGCGCCGGCGGCTGAGGACTGAAAGAAGGCCCAGGAGGACGACGAAGGCCAACAGCGCCAGGATCAAGAGCCCCCCGTGTCTGTGAGCAACTGAGGACAGCGGTGTGAGGCCCCAGGAGGCTTCGGGGGCCTCCCCCACCCCTCCCCTCCTGAGAACTCACCCTCCAGACACAAGACGTGCTTCCAGGAGAATTGGACATCTGACCTCCATACCTGGAAGCACAGACACCCCCCGTGTGTCTCCCGGGGGACTCAGTTAAGGGGTGCAGGGGGCATCCCACTGGAGGGGTTCCCAGCACAGGCTTTGTGTCTGGTCCTGCTTCAGAGTGCCCCCCCAAAAGTGAGCTCAAGGCTGGCGGGGGGTCGTGAGGAAGGGAGGGGGTGCATGGCCCCTGGGGGCGGAGCCCAGCTCAGGAGCCTGTCTGGGGACAGAGCCCCGGATTCCCGCACATGGCTGAGACCTCCCGATCGGTCACGACCACAGAGTGGTTTCCAGACCAGACCAGGCACTGCTGGGGGCTGTGCTGGCCCCACGGTCCCCTGGGGGGGGAGGGGCAGGGCTCCTTACCAGGACGCAGCCGCCTGGCACCGGGAAGGGGATGACTAAGTCCAGAGGGACTGGGCTGGAGCGTGTCTGCGGGAACAAAGCACGGGGTGCCCGGTGTGGGGCCACAGGGCGCCCGGTGTGTTGCTTGCAGGCCGCTGCGCTGCTCGTCCTTCTTTTATTTTTTCTTTTTGGGCCACACCCAGCAATGCTCAGGGGTTACTCCTGGCTCTGCACTCAGGAATTACTCCTGGCGGTGCTGGAGGAACCATATGGGATGATAGGCATCGAACCCAGGTTGGCCGTGTGAAGGCCCTGCCCGCTGTACTATTGCTCCGGCCCCTGTTCCTCCTTCTAACAACCCTCTTGCCCTCTCCGGTCAGGCTGCAGCCCAGCACAGCCCCCACAGCAGACGCTGGAAAGCGGGTCTGCCAGGTGGGTACATGGTACCCCGCCCTCCCCACTGCCTTCGTCTTGTACGCCAAAGGGCCGGCTTGTCCACTGGCAGGCGAGAAGTCGTACGGGGCCAGTCTCACGTGGCTTCGGGGGTGGGACTCTCAGGAGGGTTTGGCCACACTCAGTCAGCCCCTCCGGGCTCAGGCCTTGGGGGACCAGGAGGTCCCGGGGATGGAGGTCGGAGCCTCGAGCTCGCTGACCACGCTTTCCTGGGTGCCTCTGGCTTCATTCCCCTGACTCCCACGCCTCCTGGCTTCCCTGCATCATCTGGACCCAAGGGTGCACTTGCGGGCGTGCTGGGCTGTGGCTGTGCACGCTCACACTCGCAGACATACTGGACGGGACTCCCGAGGGACACGTGTTTCTTGTGTCTCCTGGAGCAGGCAGACCCAGGGACACCCTTGGTGCGGGCTCACAAGGACAGCACTGGTTGGCCGTCGTGGCAGGAAGGAGGTTCCACCCGAGTGAGTGTCCACTCACCTCCATCCTTGGACGATGGCCCCTCCTGGACCCTGCCCCACCCCAGACCCTCTTTTCCAAGCTGACCTGAGCGGTGCCAAGGCCAGGGCTACGACTAAACTCAGCAGTGATGGTCTTTGCCCAGTGCCAAGTGGCCCCGTGGGCCTGGCCCGGGTCTCAAGCCCCAAACACTGGCGCAGGCTGTCAGCTTGGGGCACCCCCGGGGAGTGGGCTGCAGGTAGGCATGGCAGAAGGCACGGGAAGGAGCCGATCTCGCCCAGCCCGCTGGGGTTGTGGTTTCGCTGATCTAGGGGAAGGTGGTTTTCCTATCAGATACGCAGCTTCTGGTCACGAGACGCAGCCGGGGTTCACAGAACGACCCGGCCCTCGTGTGTGGTTTCTAGTGTTGCCAGGGGAGCCAGCAGGCAGTGGGGGGACAGCCCCCAGGTAGGAGAGACCTGCATGCACACCCCCGGGGCCCAGGGTACCTGGGTGACGCTGTACACCGGGAGCGCCAGGCTGTCCCGTGGCAGCCCCGTGGCACTGAAGGTGGCCGGGACCCTGGACAAGAAGCGCAGAACCAGCCGCCGGGCCCGAGTCTCTAGGCTCACGCTCCAGGACGGGGCTGCTGGACAGGAAAGGGCGGCGTGAGGGGCTGCGTGGGACAAGGCCGGGCCTGGCCGCAGCTGGGGAGAGGCTGGCAGAGGCTCCACTTCCTGTCCCAGATTTGCTCACCGGGTCGGTGCGGGCACTCGACGTGGCTGGTGTTTCTAAAGGAAAACTGGGCAGAAAGCAGAATGGAGGTGAGCCACTTGCCCGGCATAAAGCTGCTTCTACTCACCCAGGTTTGAGCCCTGACCCCACTGATGGCCCCCTGAAGACTACCGGGCACTCCTGAGCACTGAGCCAGGAATAACCCTTACGCACCTCTTGGTGTTGTCCCCAAACCAACCCCCCTCCAAAAAAACAAAAACAGAGAATTGAGGGGTCAGAGCCGTAGTGCAGTGGGGAGGGCACCTCCTGCCTTGGTTGGCCAACCCAGGTTTGATCCCCGGCACCCACTAGGGTCCCCCGAGCGCCACCAGGAGTGATCCTGAGTGCAGAGCCAGGAGTAAAGCCTGAGCAGTGACAGATGTGGCCCCCCCAAAATGATGATAATACCTAAAAGAGGGGATGGAGCGTTAGCACAGCAAGAAGGGCGTTTGCCTTGCACGCGGCCAACCTGGGTTCGATTCCCAGCATCCCATATGGTCCTTCAAGCCCCACCAAGAGTAATTCCTGAGTGCTTGAGCCAGAAGGAACCCCTGAGCATCGCCGGGTGTGACCCAAAAAGCAAATAAATAAATAAATGAAACGAAATAAAAGAGAAGACCAAGGTCTCGGTGCCCTGCCCAGCCCCCAGCCCACACACCTTGAAGCAGAGGTGGGGGTGCAGGTCCACCTTCTCCAGGACATACCACTGTGGGGAGATGGGAGTCAGCTGGGGCGGGGCGGGGTCTCCACCCTGCCACCCGGATTGGCCTGGCCACTCTCACCCCATCTGACTCGTGAGCGGTGGCATTGGGGAGGTCCTGGCAGGGAGCGCCCTGCTCACGCCGCTGGCACAGGGAGGCCTGGAGCTGGAGGGGGCAGCGGGGCGCGGACGACAGGACCATCTGCGTGTGCTGGCTGTGGTCGGTGAAGTCCATGGAAGCCCAGAAGTCGGGGCCATCTGGGGGGCGTGGGGCGGAGATGAGGCCCCCGCAGCTCCTGACCCATCGGGGTCCCGGTCCTTCCTGCCCTTCCCCCTCCTCGCCCCGCACCCGGCTGTCTCGGCCCCCAGCTCTGCCCCTGCGCTCCAGGAAGGCGCGCGCACACACGGCCGGTGCTTGGCGCACTCACAGGCTCCAGGCCAGCTCTGGAAGGGACATTTTTTGCGCCTCACTGTGTCCTCTTGAAGAAAGGATGCCTGGGGGAGGGGGACACAGGTGAGGGTCCGCTAGATCCCCAGGTGGAAGCTCATTCTCCTGGGGAGCAGTGTGGGGTGCAGCAAGAGTGGGTGCCTGACCGGGGGACTTCAGAGTGAGGAGGGGCCCGACCAGTGAGGAGGGGCTGAATCTCTTCTCCCTGGGGGCACGTGGCAGACGGGGACCCGGCCACTCTGGGCGTCCCTGGCCTCACCGACTGTTCCTGCCACCCTGCACCCATGACTGCCCAAAGCCCTGGGGCTGGCACCTGCTGGTGCCCGCTCCGCCAGGCCTCCGCCTGAACCCCCATCTCTCTCCCCCTTTACCCAGGCCTCTGCCTGCATCTCCTAATCCTTGGGGGCGCCCTGAGCTTGTCTAGTGGGTGGTCAGTGCCAGCAGCTCTCAGACCCCAAGGGAAGGAGAGGGGCCTCCAGGTCGACCCCACGGGGATCATGTGACCCCTCAGAACAGAGGGAAGGCAGTGGGCCGTTCTGCCTCTGGGGCCTGAGCGCACCCCCAAGAACGTCCTGAGTTCTACTGCCCCCACCCACTCCGTGGCTGAGCAGTATGAACCCCAGCCAGGAGCACCCAGTCCCACGGGTGCTGCTTCCTGGAGACGCTGCCCCTCCGTGCCGGCTGGGGGACCCGGGCACCCCGGCCGCGCTCACCTCCACGCACAGACAGGGCAGGAGGAATTCATACGGCAGCTCCACAGCGCGACCCCCAGATACGACCTTCTGTTGACAAAGCAGGGAGGGAGGAAGGATGCACTGACCCCGCTGTCTCAGGGGGCGGGAAGCAGGCTGGGCTGCTGGGCTGCTGGCCCCAGGGATGCTGCTCGGGGAAGGAGCGTCCACTCAGTGACCTGCCGGCATCACGGGAACTCAGCAGGGTTGCTATCATTGTGTGGTTTCTGCTGGGCCTGTATGCCAGCACACACACATGACTGCATGAACACATGAGTACATACATGAACACATGAAGACACATGTCTACAGACACATGCCTACATGTATACCTAGATGTGTGTGCCTGTGTGAACATATATGTACGTGCACACGTGCATAAGCACATGTATACACACGTATATTGCATATGTGTGTACACATGTCCACCCAAACATATACATGCCTAGATATACACACATGTGTACCCAGATATATACCCACATGTGTGCATGCATGTGATCACACGCATCTGCATATGCACACACATGCCTTTGTGCTTAGATGTGTACACACACACGTGTGTATGCATGCATGTGTGCCCAGATGTATGTAGGTGTCTGTATAGAAACATGCATGTAACTTGCACCCCCGTGTGCTGGTTCCCGGAGACACTCAGCGACAGCCTGCACAGGCCTGGCAAGGGGCGGCACTCGGGAGCAGCGGTGTGGGGGTGCACGTGGTCCTGCCCGCACAGCCTCAGCATCCCGAAAACTGCGACCATTTCCACAGGCAGCCGTGACATCTGAAGTGGATGTAGAGGTCCCAGGCCGGGCTGGGAGCGTGGCAGGCAGGGGCAGGGGCACTGCTCTGTCATCTCCTCTTGGTCCCTGAGTGGCAGGGCCAGGCCGAGCACCCTGCTACTGACTGGGTCCGGCCGAGACGTCTCGGTGCTTGGCCCCCCCAGGCTCAGTCTCCCCATCTGTACAACGTGGCACCCGGGCCCGGCTTTCCATACCTGGGCGTGGAAGGGACGGCTCAGCTCCTCACATTCCAGGGCCCACTGGTGACAGAGCCGCACGCTGACCTCGGGGCCCGGGGGGACAGTCACTCGGATGACCCGGGCCTCAGGCAGCAGCTCAAAGGAGAACGCAGGTCCTGGGGAGGAGGAGGATGCGGCGACCTCATCTCTGGCCTCACGTGGCCACCCCTGCTGGCTGCCCCCTCCTCCTACCTCTGGACCTCAGGGGACCAGCAACAAGACCTGGGGCCCCGTGCTCCGTAGGCTGTGTCCTCTTGGCGCGCAGACAGTTAGGGGAGAGGCCTGGGGAGGTGCAGGAGAGGGCACGGCCTGTCCTCTGAGAGGAGAAGAGGATTCTGATGCCAGGAGCCAGGACTCAGCCTTCTAGTCCTGCCCCAGGAGCCCGGGCACCTGCCCCCCACCCTGCCTCCAGCTGGAGCAGTCAGAACCTGCCGCTGCTCCTCTGCAGTTTGGGCTCATAAATCGAGGGGTAGCCGGGCAGGTTGGGGCGGGGTGGGGCAGGTGGGGCGCACCTGAGCAGGTGCTGGCAGCTCGTGCCTCCTTCCACTCAGGAACTTTTGTGGCTTTGGGGGTTTTGGTAGCAGGAGGCGGAAGTGGCTGTGCTGAGGACCTGTGTGGGGAAGGACACAACTACCACTGACCCCCCTGCACCCCCTCCCCAAAGACAGACAGACACACACACACACACACACACACACACACACACACACACACACATGGCCTTGGCCCAGAATTAATCAAAAAGGATTGACATTTTTTTGGTTTTATTTCTTAGGGGGGCCGTCACACCGGGAGATATTCAGGGTCACTCCTGGCTCTGTGCTCAGGAATCATTCCTAGCCGTGCTGGGGGGGCCACATGGGGTGCCAGGGATCAAAGCCAGGTTGGCCGCATGCAAGGCAAATGCCCTTCCTGTTTCGCTTTTGCTCCACCCCAGGACTGACTTCCTGAGTAGGAAAAAAACACCCAAGTAGAGATGCCCGCGGTAGCGCTATTTACGAATCTGCCAAGTCTTAAGCGCAGGCCAGCACAGAGCTGTCCGGGAGAGGACACACGCGAGCCCCATGCCATGGGCTTCCCCGAGTGCCACCGGGTGTGGCCCCCGCCCCCAAAAGAAGAAAGAAGACAGAGCTGAAGGGGTCTTACTTACAGTGGAAGGTAAGCTTAGTCGATGCCAAGAAGGAAAAGATGTTTGTTTTGTTTTTCCATTTTAGCGGGGCAGGAGGATCCCCACAGTGCCCGGGGGCCGTTAGAACCCAGAGATTTTAATCCCAGGAAAGGAAACTAGCTGAGAAGAGCAACACCCTCAGACAGACAACTGGACACACACACGTCTGTCTGTCTTGGTGGGCTTTTTCGTTCTTTTTGGCCACATCCTGGCTCTCAACTCAGAGATCACTCCTGGTGGGCTCGGAGAACCCTGTGGGGCGCTGGAGATCGAACCTGCTCTGCTAAGCTCAAGTTGGGGTCTCGGGGGAGATGAGCAGAGACACAGGGCGGGGCAGAGCTCAAGGGGGAGCGTGGGCTGGTCAGACTCACCTGAGACACTGCGGTCCTGAAGACCAGTCCAGGAGGGCACACAGAGCTGGAAGAAAAGAGCCTGTGAGGGCCCCCACCACACACACACACACACACACACACACACACACACAAACTCTGTCCTTCCCCGTGGTACAGGGTTCAACCCCCAGTGCCTCATTTGTGCCAGCTCTCTGCCCAGGGCCTGCAGACCTCGTGGTCCTTGGCATCCCCAGGAGTCTGCAGAGATAGCAAGATGCCCCAGGGGGCTGGAGGACGGGCAGCTGGGGACCAGGGGCATCTTACCAGGCGGCGGGCTGGGGGAGGACAGCAGACGCCCGCAGAGGCGGAGAGGTCTGTGGACAGCAGCAGCAGCAGCAGCAGCAGCTGGCCAGCCGGGAGGGGACTCCCCATGGGCTCCAGTAGGGTTAGCGTCCCCACAACATGGTTGTGTGGCCTGAAGGTAGGGGGCAGGGCCAGGCGTGCAGAGGGTGGGACCCCACGCCCAGTCTGCCGCCCCGCCCCGCTCCCCCCCTCTGGCTTTGGTCTGATCCAACCAGCTGGGCTGCATTCCTTCCCCTCCAGGTGTAGGCCCCCAGGGCCCCCCCAGGAAACCCGGGGATCCCCCAGAGAGGGCCAGGGAAGGAGCAGGAAAGAGCCCCCCAGCCCCGTTCTAGGGCAGTAGCTGCCAGAACCCCGTCTTGGCTCCACCCACTTCTGCAGCCGTGAAGCGTGACCTGCCCAGGTCTGCACACCTGGACCCACGTGTGCCCAGCGTTGGCCATCAAGCGGGCTGGCACGGGTCAGGGGGACCGTGCAGGGTCTGCGCCTGGGAAAGAAGGGGCTAGCAAGCACGCCCCACGTCCACGCGCCAGCCACCTCCTGCTACTGCACCCGACAGGCGCCGGCCCGTTCCTGCCCACAGCCAGGCTGTCTTCAAGGGTGCAGAGGTGGGCGCCCCGGCTGCCCAGGGCCCTCTCCCGCTGGCGGCCTGCGCACTGACCTGGTTTTCTGTGGTTTCTGATGCTGATGCGGCCCCAGCTTGGAGGGTCCCCACCCCCGTCTCTCCACTGCTTCCTCCGGGCCTGGCGCCCTTGGCCTGCTTCAGCCGCGCTGTGCTGACGCTTGCGGTGGAAACAAGTGGGGGTGGGGGGGGGTCTGCTGGCGCTTGGTTCCTTGAGACGGGTCCTGGGCCCTGCCCCTCTTGGGGGGGGGCACTGGCTGAGGCCCCCTGCTGCCTTCCCCACTGCCCAGTCCCTGCCTGCTCCTTCCGTCCTCTCTCTCACCAGGAAGGGGTGTCGGGAAGTAGGGGTGAGTCCTAGTGCAGGCAAGTCCCTGCACCTCCGAGACCTTCCAGCTAAGGAACAGTTTCTCCGCCTCTATCTCACACGGCGCTTTGCTCTGTGCGGGGACTCTGCTGGGCCCCCTCGGCCTCCCAGGCTGGGCAGCTCAAAGCCAAGGGCGTAGCATGCAAAAGCGCTTGGTTCCTGTGGTGCCAGGAACCACCTGGGCTTCCCCAGCTGGCCCTGGGGGTGCTGGGGGTTATGGGGTCTGGGTGTGGATCCCAGAGCTGCATGCTCGTCCCCGCCGAGCGCTGAGCTGCTTTCCTGACCCACTCCCTGAGATGCGAGAACCAAGGGTTCCATCTCCAGGGGACTTCGTGCAGAGCCGCACTGCACAGAGCAGGCGGTGCCCAGGGCATGGGCACAGGCCCATCTTCCTCCGCTCTCTTCCTGATGCCCCTTTCCAGGAAGATATGTCCTTTGCACCAGCGTGGGGGTGAGTGCCACGGCCCATGGCGGCCCCACGCCACCTCACCCATCCCCGCCGCTCGTGGCCACACTCCCACAGAGCACAGCCAAGATGGTGACGACGCCCCCAACCCTCCACGGTGGTCCAAGAACACGGGGCTGCTGGCTCCTGACTTGCTGATGCACTCAGCTGCCATCGCTGCGGGCAGCAGGGACTCGAGGGTCCCAGAAGGGACCCGACCAGGAGCTTCACGGCAGAGGACTTCCTGCACAGGGTTGCAGCTCTGCTCGGCCCAACTCCATGTTCTTCCTGCCAGGGTTCAGCGAGCAACCGTGCCAATGAGTTAGAGCAGTGGAAACCCTGTGTCTTTTCTCTTCTCCTTCCTGCGACGCCTGAAGGGACCCTGTGAGGCAGCCAGAAACGGAGCACAAGACAGTGATTTAAAGCAGCCCCCAGCGCTCAGCCCAACCATATGCCAGACTCTACTCCTGCACCCACGGCCTCCCCAAAGTTGCTGCACTATGACCCCTAAGTGTCACAGCTGAAACAGGAGCCCCAGGATCTTGCCCAGTGCCTGGCAGGAATTTCCACGTAGCCCGATGTCAGCTGGCATCGGAAACCATTCAGAGCACAGGCCAGGCTGCCATGCTCCAAGGACCCTTGACACTCGTGAAGCCCCATAAACATCAGGGAGTCGCCATCCCGCCCCCGATCGAGGAGCTTGTCCGAAGCCGTGGAGTGCACGCCGGGCAGGAGAGGTCAAGTTTGATTCCTGGTACCGTGTGACCATGCCCCTAGTCCCACTGGTGTGACCGTGGTGGCCTCCAGCCCCAGCGAGTACTGAAGCCACAGGTCCCCACTGCTGGGCAGAGACGGGCAGGAGTGACTCTGTGCTTGTGACTCCTCACGTTTATAAACGATCATTTAGATTGCAAAGTACGTGCAAAACATCTATGAGACTCGGGAGGAGCCTCATCCATGAATGAATCTGTTGAAAAACTCAGGTATGCAGGTTTTGTGAAATCTCCAGGCTCTCACGGAGTCAGGGATGGGCGACCTGCCCCCATCTCCCTGTTCTTCCAGTCATGCCCACAAACTGCCTCTGGCGCCAGAGAAGCTCACTAAGGGGCCATGATCCAGAGACTCATAAATAAATCTCGGAATAATTCAACACGTTTCAGAGATGCCTCAAAAGTCACCAGTTACACTCTTTACAGTAGCCAGAAACTGGAAGAGACTTGAGTGCCCAAGAACAGATGACTGGTTAAAGAAACTTTGGTACATCTACACAATGGAGTACTATGTAGCTCTTAGAAAAGATGAAGTCATGAACTTTACATACAAGTGGTACAATATGGAAAGTATCATGCTAAGCGAAATGAGTCAGAAAGAGAGGGATAGACATAGAAAGATTGCATTCATCCGGGGGATATAAAATAACAAAATATGAGATTAATACCCAAGAATAGCTGAGATCAACACCAGGAGGATTACTCAATAGCTTAGAGGCCAGCCAGGTATTCTAGGGGAAAGGACAGTTCAGATGGAGAAGGGAACACCAAATGGAGGGTGTTTGGAGGATCCTCCCAGGAGGGGAGATGCAGGTTGAAAGTAGACTGGACTGAACATGTTCGCCACTCAATGCCTCTTTTGCTGATCACAACACCCAAAAGGAGAGAGAGAACAAAAGGGAATGCCCTGCCACAGTGGCAGGGGGGAATGGGGGGCTGGGGGGACTGGGGGGGGAGGGATATTATCCTGGTGGTGGAAAATGGGCACTGGTGGAGGGATGGGTATTTGATCATGGTATGACCAAAATCCAAGCACAAAAATTTGTAAATCTACAACTGTACCTCATGGTGTTTCACTAATAATAATAAAAAAAAAAAAAAAAGAAAAAAAAAGTCACCAGTTAAAAATTTAACTCTAGCTTTATCACCCTATTTAAAATTTTAGAACTTCTGGTGTAGGATAACAATTGATTTGTCCTTTTCTCCCTTGCCACAAGGAGCTTAGGTTCATTGAGTCATACCCATCACAGTGCTCCCGAGTCACTCCCATTCCTTTGTTTATCTGTAACCACTTCTTTGTGCTCTCTTCCCCAACCAGTTAATCAGCTTTTCCCCTAATCAGGATCTGTTCATTTGTAAGGTCAGATCCTTCTAGGACACTGAACTTGTATCATTAAGTTAATATTGCCTTTCTCCTCTCCTTATGTCTTTTGAATAGTTTACTTTCATGCAATGTCCTTTTTGTATAGATACAGGAAGACAATTAATATTATGCTTTGTAACTTAGGATTTAATTGGCTTTGAATATTATTCATTCCCCGGCATCTGCTTTCTCAACTTAAACCTCAGTTGACCACACTTCCTAGTACCCCAAAGGCAGGGTCCCGACGAGGGACTGGATGGAACCAGGGCAAGTGGGTAAGCTATGTGCTACCCTGGCATCGAGATGGGCCAGGCCAAAGTGCCATTATTCTTAACTATTAGTTAGGAGTTTGATCATAGAAAAATGCTGTCATGATTCAAAAGTAACGAGATGAGACTAGGACCCTGCTAGGGATAGGGAAGACTATCTGGCCTGAGCACTGTAGTCTGAGATCGAGATGGCCCTAGGAAAGCAATTCTATAAGCTTAAAGTATTTCTTACTGTGTCCATACAAAATGATTTTTTTAAATTTATTTTTTATTAGTGAAACACCATGAGGTACAGTTGTAGACTTACAGATTTTTGTGCTTTGGTTTCAGTTATACAATGATCAAGTACCCATCCCTCCACCAGTGCCCATTTTCCACCACCACGGGTCCCAGTGTCCCTCCCACCCCCCATCCCCCCACCCCACCCTGCCTCTGTGGCAGGGCATTCCCTTTTGTTCTCTCTCTCCTTTTGGGTGTTGTGATCAGCAAAAGAGGCATTGAGTGGCAAACATGTTCAGTCCAGTCTACAAAATGATTTATATTATGTATGCTTATATGTTGGTTGGACAAGGAGAGGAGAAACACATCCAGGGAAATCTGTTCTATTGTGGGTTGATCTGCTAAATGAGAATCTGTCCTGGAAGCAGTTTTCCTGTGTGTCCTGACTAGCTTGAATGAGACTGGACTTTCTCCCCTTCAAACTGCCTTCAGTAAATGATTTCAGTATATTGAGGCAGTTTCCCTTTTCTCACAGAAACCTAGCTGGTCTTGGATATGCAGAGCTCAGGTGCTAGCCAGGCCTGATCTTCGGGATGTAGATTCCAGGCTCTAGCCAGACTAGTCTTTGGCATGCAAATCCAAGTACCTGTAGCCCAAGAAAGGTTTCAGTTTTGGTTTTGAATCTTCTTTCTAGAAGGCCAAAACTACTGGCCTGCAGATGTAAAGAAACAGTGTATGTTTTGCTGCCTCAATGTTCTTTCTGTAACTCCTTTTGATGACATCACTGCATTGTGCCCTTTAGAGGTACCATGATCTATATAAGGAGATCTTCAGGACTCTCTAGGGGGAACACAGGCCTGAGGGAACCTGGGGGATGGTCTGAGAGAAGCTGGGCCCTCCATGACATAAATTTTTCTTGTGGGATATAATGAAATTCTCTAGAGGGGGCTGAGGAGAGACAGACAGGAGTGAATGGAGAGAGGATTGGAATAAACTGCAACTAAGACCAACCAGCCTGGC